TTTAGATAAGAGATATTTCCTAAATTCCTTCAGGTGTTATTCCCCTTTAGCACTGTTTAGCTTGGGACCAACAATTCTGTATTAGATAATAAACATTCGTTATTATGACTTTAGGCATGGGACAATAATTTAATTTGGGGTCGAAGTATTGTTAAAATCTTCATTAGATTAGGAAAACTATTTGAAACAAACCTTTGCTATAAGAGTGATATATTAAAATTATAGAAATTGCATTCAATTTATTTATTTAAGATAATAATGTTCCACTTTATTATTTTTATTACATTAATACATATTTATTGTTATTATTATTGTTTAAATACAAAAAGTTTTGACAAGGAAAGTTTTACTAATTGTTTATTATATTAGTAATATACCCAAGTTACGGAAACTATATTTTACTTATTGATTCTCTTTGTAAAATTTTATACTGTGGTCTATTCTATGAAAAGTATAATTTTTATATATTATTTCTAATCATCTATAATATAAATCATAGGTATCAAGATGTAATATGAATATATATTATAGATGTAATATGAATTATTTAAACTCTTTAATGATTCTATAGAATAAAAATTTTAAAATTAAAAATCACCTAAATTAAATTAACTTATACATGCTTTAATGTAATAATAATGAGCTACTATATGCTATTTTGCTACTATCAATCTTCACATTGCATTACCTAATCAAAACTATGAAGATAAAATCACTGTTTGTAGATGTAATAGTCAAAGAATCAGTGGTCTCCAAGACAAAATTTTATCCTTCCTGCGCCCATATAATAACTTCAACTTTGCACAGGAGATAGAGTTGGGCTGTGACTTTAAAAAATATATATGATAAAATATTTTTAATGATAAAATTGTTAATTTAATCAATTGATAAGGGATGCTAATCGATTAGCCATTACTTTACTTAAAAATGAAATTTAATTTTAATAAGGAAATAGTTAATTAATTAATGAAAATTTTATTTTAATCAGAAATTCAAAATTAATGTGGAAAATAAATAACGAGTTCAAAATTAATAAGGAAACATATACAATAGATAAAAAAAAAGTCAACATATAATTTAATGAGAAAATTGTCAATTAATTAAGGACCGTTTACTTTAATTAAAACTTTCATGGTAATAAGAAAATACATAAAAATTACTCATAATTTTAATTTATTTAAAAAAATAATTAAGAAAAAAAAAAAGGAAAACGTTATCTTTAATGCTAGAGATTTTCTTACTATGGGTTTCTATTAATGAATTTTTGTTTTTGCTAAAAACAAGTTGATTAAAAGAACCAATAAAACCCAAATAGAGCTAAACAATGTGATCCATAAAAATTGGGCCTAAGTCGCCTCTCTTATACAAATACCAAGCACTACAAAAAATAATGTGAAGGGAGTATTAAGCCTGATCGGTCAATGCTATCAAGAGTGGGGGAAGGAGAGAAAGAGTTTAGGCAAACCAAATTTCTTGTTATGCAGATTCCATAGAAGAGATATTACCAATGGCAACAAGCACTGGTTTTCCATCAATGACCACTGACAACTACAGGTATGATTCCTTCATTGATGTCTTCCTTCTACTTCAGGGATTTAATCATTCAACAATAGTGACAATAAAATAAGAGAGAGAATGCAAATATGTTTCTCTTTGATTTGTGATAGAGCTAGGGTCAAGCATCAGTCTCCCCTGGTTCATAGAACGAAACTAGTCTTCCACCCAGTGGTTGAGTTGGCCTTGAGTTCTCCTTAAATTGCTGAAAAACAAAAGAAGAAGAAATAAACATGCAAATGTCATTTTGTTGATTTGTATATGCATACAATTTGCTCAATAGTGCCAAGGAAAAACAAATTGCTTTTAACCGAAATTATCTTGTATTTTCATGTCTTTTCCTAGGAATAATTAGTTGTTTATTGTTTTTATTCCCCTCAATGTTGAAAATTCTCCTTGGAACAAGGCCTTAAATAAAGCGCAAGGAATGGCTCAAACTTAAAAGATTTTCCAAATTCATGATCAGAAATATCATCTACCCTTGCTTGAGATTATCTCTTGGAGAAACCAATTTTGGGTGGGGAAAGAATTGCATCATGTAATTTATTACTATTGGAAACACTTGATCACCTCAGTAAGGGCATCCTTTAATGCCTGAACTTGCTCGGGTGAGGCTGTCTTCACCTGTGCAAGACATAATACTAATTAGTTGACAAAGCAATCCAATGAGCAAAGAAGAGAGCAAAATAAGATGTCAGTAAAAAACCTGCTGGAAGACCGTCCAAATAACACCCTCAGTACATGGAGGAGTTGAAAGTGACCCAGTGTATCTATAATACTGTCTACCAACAAATCCAATATCGCCTGGATTAACATTTCCCAGTTCTTTCTCTCCCCCTCCAACAGTTTTTATGGAGGACAACAGCTGCAAGGAATAGACCAAAATAAAGAAAACTATGACTACCTACCCTGGAACTGTAATTGAAGTTGATCCACCAATGCAAAATATATGAAGATTGAGAATATGAAGTAAGTTAAGAACTTTCTTTGTTGCTTTTTGAAGCATTTTGATGACTAAATGACCATGAAAGTTTTAATTACTATAATCTGTGAAGTTCCTACTATTCACATGAATGTATGAAATTTGATCAATAGTTGACAAAATTAGAATTCGACAGTGACAGATATTCCAGGAAGACTGGAACTTTAAATATGTTACTTCGATGGCGCCTTTGATTTGCTCTAGTTCTACTTCAAGATGGAAACAGTTAAAGACAAATGTTGCCATACCGCAGAAAGGAAGGGATCAGGTTGGCCAAATTGGAAAACCATTGAAACAACGGCAATCTGATTTTGAGCATTCTGATGAACTATGTGAATCTCCAAGTCATGCCTGTCAGCCAAAAGAACCAAATAAACCACCATGAATGAACTGTTTATTCTGAATGGAATAAGCAGCTCATAAACCAAATTAGAAAAGAAAAACTGTGGGAGCCGGTTGGGAGATATATTTACCTAGTTCCATCAAATGTGTGCTCCGAGGGAGAATGCCAATGACATTGAAGTATCTTATAATCAGTCCCGTTTATGTTAACTTTTCCAGCATCTCCATTCCACAATACCTGAATTAGACCAAAATAAAAAGGGGGGGATCAAGTCCTAGTAAGATATAACAAAAGCTGATAAAAAGACAAATAGTATTTTTGTTGTCATCAACCATCGATCAATAATTTGTCTGATCAAATATAAATACATGCATTTGTAAGATTGATAGTTCTCCGTTGCAGACGCATGGCACCGCGTGGTAAATTAATTAAGGAAAACAATCAACTGATAAAGGTAATAGCACAAAGATTAATACTATTACCGCAATGTCATGCCCCCTATTCTTTAAAACAGCTGGGCTTGATGCGTAGCTAGTTTGCAAATCACCCAAAGCAGGAGAAAGCTGAACGCTTCCAACAGGAATATCTATAGGAGACTGCAATTTTCCAGTAGAGCAAGTTTGCCACTCCGGTTTGAGTGAACCCCACCTGGATGGCCCCTTACCCGATCCTTCATCGTAATTAAATTCATCTCCTGTATGCATGCAGATGCAGTGCACCCCAAAACAAACATTTTCTCACATATTTTATGGAGCCTTATTATAACCCTTTGTCAAAAGAAGAACTAATAATTTTAAAAATTTTCGACCAAGACGTGGGGAAATTATCTATAAGAAATATTAATAATAATTATTTAAATTTTACGTTGGAAATCTTAGATTTAAATCAATCCTGCAAAAAGGAGGATGAGATATAAAATAAGAGGAAGTTACATTCCTTTCAATAATTCAAGATTCGTCTTTATTATTTGAATTTCCATAATTAATTATATTAGTGAAAACAAAACTAAAAGAGAGAGCATACCTTCGTCAGATTGAGAATGAATGCCAGTGGGACGAAAGGAAGTGGATGACAGACTGAGAGAAGCAAAAATGAGAAAGGCAAAGGCCCTTTTGCAGCACTTCATGGTAATTGCTTGCTTTGCTATGTCTTTGGATCTGTTCTTGTATCATGGCAATACTAATTTATAGATGGGCAAAGCTTCCCTTTTTCTAGGAAACCAAGAGAATATTCATGAGCTTACCCCTAATCCCATGCATGATTATGGACGTGTTTAACTCAAAAAAGGAAAAAAATAAACGAATTTTCAATGCAGATTTTGTTTCCACTTGTACCAAAACCAAAAATGGTGAGATGGATAGACTACACAAAGTACGTATCGTAAACTTCTTTTTTAAGATAAAATTTGAGAATTATTTTTTTCATTGAAAAGAATATATTAAAAACAAATCTTTTATTCAATGATTGATATCTGAAATTTGATAGTATGAATCAATAGATTAATTTCTTACTTGTAATTACTAATTTTGTTGAAAAACATTTGTCCAAATTTTGTTCTTTGACACCAGTGTTTAGGATGACGAAAAAATATTTTAACTTGATTACTATATATAAAAACTTTAAAATTTTTTTTTCTATGTTAAATATTGAATTTTATTAAATATCAAAATGATACAAACTAACACATCTATAAATCTCATTCTAGTCTTCTCTATCAAATATTAAAAGTATCAAATTAAATTTTATTAAGTTTTGAAAGGGAAGATGGGTAGATTTTTTTTTTAAATGATATTTTTATTTTATATTTATATAATATTAGCTATAATTTTTTTAACTATTAATTAATAGTGGTAATAGTCAAGGGTCAAAAATATTATTTTGAAACAAAACGGTGGATGTTTGATCCTGATATGAATACTGCTTGGTATAATATTGAATCTGAGATAACTTTCCCCAAATAATGACTTGCAAATCCATGTTAATGGAATTATGGAGTTTGTCATGCTCTGACGAATTTAGTAAGAGTTATCAGTCAGAAATTCCTACTCTTCTACTTCCTTTTACTGTCGTGAGTGAAACGAAACTTTTGTCATGAATCAGACGGAGAGGGTAGGCCATCAATGGGCGTAAAGAGCTCTAGCATTACTCTTGTTTCTGAATAATTAGTTCATTGAAGACCCAAACATCCAAATTCAATCACCCTGGAGGCCTCCACTAATTAAATCATCAATCCCCTGGCTTACCACCAGGATTCCTCTCCTCCAGATTAACCTTCTAACTTCACAGATTCCCTCACTTGTTATTATTTTATGGTCGATGCAGTTTTCCATTATAAGCAGCGGGAAAAAGAATGAACCAAACCATCATAAACTTCAAGCAACGTCCACCTGCCTTCGGTAGACGGCCAGGGAGCAACGACATCAATTCACAATGGAATATGTATCTTCTATTTTCTTCATGACTATAAAATCAATGATCATTACGTTTTGTACACTCATTTATGAGTTTCAAAAGTCCAAAGCACCAAACTCTTTCTTTTTCAATCCTAAAATTAACTTGAGCAGTGCTCCGAGTGCCTTCTAGAGGTATCGTATGAATAGTGACCACGCATCAAGATTCAAAACTGTAATTCTTCTTGCCACTCTTGACTTTTTAGCTGGATATACTCAATGCCAGCAGCATCTGCATAAAGTTATTGATCTTAGACCCATTGCTACACTTCTTAGAAGGTATCCATTCTAAAATTGTGTTCATTACCTGACCAAACCAATGGCAATCACTTCTCATGGAACCATCAAGGACCTGGTGCAATGTAGAAGCTGCTCCAATTTCTTAATGAAAATTGGGGTTACATGGCAAAGAGCATAATCCTTCTCTAGGCCTCTTACCAGCGAGAATGAGAATCTCTATACGTCTTCCAATTCCCCTGCCAATATCGTCTATTTGAACTCCTCTCATAAGGATAGGCATACTCATCTGGTGGTCTTTCATAAGGACTGCCTTTGCTTTCCCTGGGAGCTTTTCTGATTTCCTCTTCAAGATCATATTCTGACCGCTGGAAACAGAAAAATGGCACATGAAAACAAGGCAGAACAATGACAGAAAATAAGAGGTATATTCTAAAAGAAACTATCCACAAATAAAAAGAGTGCAGAAGAATAAAATACTGTAGCCCTTCAGCAGTGCAAAGGAATTCAACTGGACTTCAACTTCATGTCACTGCAGCAAGATCTCTATCATTAAGTTGCAAGCTTTAACTTGAATCGGAACATTGAACTAGAACCATAGACGCACAAACATGGCTAACATGTACAAGTCCAAGATGGGTCCAATGTAGACAATATTCAAGTGAAAATCATGGCCATCAGCTGCCATTTCCTCTGATTTGAGGATTTTCCAGTACAATTCAACAAATTCTCCAGCATGTAAATAAGACCATCCTAACCAAAACTTCTTTATGGTCATCTAATTTGGGGAATGAAGCAGTAAACAAAATCTTCCTTGTCAGGAGTTCCAGAAGTAGATTCTATTGGAGATTTTGTCAGACACAGAAATATTAGAAAAAACTCTACAGGAAGAAAGTTCAAATCCATTCAATAAGCTTGAATCAAACACCCAGTCGTTGGCTGAGGTTTAGGGTCGTTGAATAATATGATTGGTAGCATAGGCTATCGGCAATTATCAAAGCAGAGGTAACTAATTGTAAGTTGATAACTGCTATGAAGGAATGATAAAATTAGAAAGCAATTACGCATAGAAACATCTCAAGTTTCAATCTGATGGATAGCAAACCTTAGCAGTATCAGATAGTATGGCATATGCCTCTCCAATCATTTTAAACAGCCTGTCGGCATCCTTGTGAACTTCCTCAGCAATTTCCTTCCAGAGTCTCCCCTCATCTCCACTCTCACTCCTCACCAGAAATTGACCAGCCTAATTCAACACAAGACAAGGAAATAGACTGCCATGACAAACAAGCACTAGTAACAGAATCAAATACACAAGAATTGCAATGTCAAACCTTGTCGGGGTGATGCCTGAGCGCTGCTTTGCGGTATGCCTTTTTAACATCAGATATAGAGTCAGATGGTTTAACTCCCCTGTCATTGCAATTAAGGATGGTTTTAGAAAACTAAAATAAAAATATTGCATCAACAAGCTGAATATTTGAACAATTCAAAACAATGATTTCTGCTGGGTCCCATTTGTTCATTAAAGTAGACCAGAAAAAATACTTGTTCCAGTTTTACTACTGATAAAACTTCAGCAAAGATTCCCATTACATCATCCTAAAGTATGAATTGGTTATTATATTTTCATTCTTTATTTATTATTATCATTGGCAATTAATGCATTCATGACCATACTCAGGGCCAAAACTATTAATTATCCCCAGCCCAGGATAAGAATTTCTATACAGGACCATTGTAATCAAATTGAAACTGCCCTTAAGTGTTAGGCATAATGCCAAGGCAGTAATTATATCCTGCAAATAGATTCACCAATG